TCATAACCTTGTAAGCCCTTATAGTCCATCTATGTTCATTCTCTTTTTCCTTTGGTTTCTACTTTTTATTTCTTTCTTGGTTTTAATGTTTTAAATTTATCATATTTATTTATTATAAGTAGTTCACATATAATAGTTTATTTGTGCTTTGATTGTTAAATTTCTTAAATCCTAATGGAATCCAATATATGTATAGTGGTCTCTTCTGGAAGACCCATTACATCCATTGCCAGATCTCAAACACACAAATGAACTCACCTACAAACTTGGATAAATAGTCCTTTTAAACCAAAACATAAACCCATTATATTATCTTTTCATGTTTAATCCTGCATCAGATGATTATTTTACATAAATTTTTACTAAAAAAATAATTTGATCTGAGAACATCTGCCAGAACCTGGAACACATTTTTTTCAATTCTTGACCTGAAGTTTAGTACCAATATCATATATCTGCTCTCTCAGAGACTTGACATATCATCATACACAACTCATACATGTGCCATGCATTTGCATAGATACTTAACACTTCTAAGAGTACTTTTACACGCATTGACTCAACTAATCTTCACAAGACTACAACACAAGTATCACCAGACTAACTTAGATAAAAATGTCATGATGGTTACTTTTAGCTGATGCTTAAGGCTATTACTTTTTCTAACAGAAGCATGATACTTCACTTAGCAGTACTAATAGATGTATCAATATTGACTCCATGTTACATGTTAAGCATCAGTGTTTTCAGCAACAGACTTTGGAGACCACCAGAATTTTGGTTTGTTTCTAATCAGCATCGTTCATTACAACTGTGAATTAAGCCTTAAAAAAAAGCACACATATATCATCTACGTGTGTGTGTGTGTGTGTGTGCGCGTACTTCTAGTTTGTCGTGCCATTAGAACTTTGCTAAAATGTGTGTTTAGTGTGTACTAAACACATGGAACACACACACACACACACACACACACACACAGGTTTTTCCTGTGAAGAATAATTAAGCTGAAAATGTGTTCTTCCCGGTGGATAAAAATGCAATTAAATGTCAAATCTTTCCTTTCAAAAGACAGAGTAAATGTTCCTTTTTTAAAAAAAAAAAAACCCAGATGGTTAAATGTATGCTTTTGAAATTTTTCTGTTTGAAGATAATCTTTTTGCCTCACAATTCCCCGAGACTCTTCTCTCCTTCAGTACTCTTAACAGTTTTTTCTCAGCCCTCAAACACTGCTGCAATTAAAGAGGATGTCCATTTCCTTTTCCTTCACATTTCTTCTTCCACTGCTTTCCTCAATGACCCTCCCTTCTCTCTAATGGCTCCCTGGTCAGCTCACATTCTAGAACTCCAACTGTTTCAGCCCCTGTCATCTCTCTCTGCACTTGCACCATACACATATCTTTGAAGACACTAGCTTCTAGCAATAATTTTTGGTCATGAAGGCATTTCTGTTTATTAGATCTTAGCCTCTCTCTTAATTTTTTTCAACTCTTAGGTGCAATTAGGAATCACAAATACAAAAATGAATTCCCTAACTCTCACAAAAGTAGGCCCTACTGTACTTGTAAAAGTAATTCATAAACAATAACCAAAGAACCAGAGAGCTATTTCAGCAGCAGGCTAATCAATATTGTGAAAAACTGAGTGTTTGTGAAGAGGGAAAGACCTAGCCTAGTGTGATGGTAATCTAGTTAAACATCCTCAAACTTGCAACAAAAGAAATTCCTCTACATTCTTTCAAGCATTTTTTTTAGTAGGATATTCCACAAATCATTTTATGATAGGCTTTCTACTGCACACATCAAGTAAAAGATTCTTGAATAAATATATGAACTCTAAGGTGTTGGCATTATGGATGTGTTAGATGCATCAAATTTTAAGCTCTGAGTTTCTGAAACATGTAAAAATGTCTCATCTGCCTGTGAAGATGTCTATCTTATGAAAGTGGGCAGAAGTGTTCAAGCTCTCAACTCTTACTTTGAATTTGTGCAAAGCATTAACCATCACATTGAAAGATACATAATTCAGCCTTCTTTTCTCTCACATGTGCTTAGCTTTGACTTTGCCAAAAAAGTGGGCATTTTGCCTCTAAAAACAACAAGTGGTTGTATTCTGTATATTCTCATCTTCCCTTGATGACACCTCTGATTGCATCTAACCTGCCAGCAGAGTTGGACTAGAAACAAGAGCTTTCATTTGGCCACGAGAACAAAGAACAATTGTTTTTGTTAAGCAGTGAAGTTTCTAATGCAGCCAGAGATTACAGAAAAGAATCCTCATAAGGGAAGAAGAAAAAAATTCCCCATCATGTCAGCACTGTCAGTGACCAAAGCCATACTCCAGTGTATGACCTATGGCCCTCAAAGCAGAGGAATATTTCTTCCTCTATAAAGTGAGTGTTATTTGATTAAATGAATGTTTCTCTAATAAATAGCATACTTAAGGTCTTTCAAAAAGCTCCGAACAACCGTCTTATCTGGAGCCAAATAAAAGATATATTGGCAAAAACAAAACTTTCATCTAAATTAATAATGTCTTTATATATCCCTGTCCAGATCTGCATTGGCTCAAGAATTGGGAAGCATTTCCCCAGTAATCATTCTGTAACCACTGAGTTTTCTAGCAAAGCCAGCATCCTCTGTATTGAGCGAAGTTCACAGGACCTATTTCTGAGGGTGTCTTTGTCTTCCTGTCCATTACCACTGTGTGATATTCATTAGTCAATCACAAAAGAGCTGATTATTTCACGTCAGTAGAAAGGCACTTTGGATTTCACTTAAAATTAAAAAATAAAATAAACTTAACTTCAATAGAGGATATATACACTTTCCCTTCCCCACTCCTTTTTAAAAAATTCTTCACTATTCTTTTTGAAATTGAATTTGTTGGCAGGGATAGACTATCTGCCTATTTTGAAAACGGCATTAGTAAAAAAATTAAATCCTAGTAATATTTCAGAAGCTTGAATGAGTTGATGGTCCATCACCTTCTGGGCACCATCCCAGATATAAAGTCATTGCTCATTTGGGCACTAATTGGTATCCTTCTTGGTGGTTATTGGAGAATTAAGCAGGCAGATTACTTTTTCATCTTCCTGTCTGAGACGTCCCCATTATTATACCATCTCTGGTAAGGTAGTAAACGGAAAATTTTACTCCTTCTTGTCTTATAATATATGCCACAACAACTTGAAAGATTAATACAAATTAAATAGCAATTACACTTTCACAATCTTTTAGTCTTCAATTTGAGCTAATTTCTATCAATTAAATAATAAAATTCAAATACTCAACACTTACTCTGTTTACCTGTCTTTTCTAAGAAGTGCTATATATATATATATATATATATATATATAAATCCTCATGAAATTATATATATATAATTTCATATATATAATTTCATGAGGATTTATTTATAGGGCATATTAATTCAGGTATAAGAAAAGCAGTGGTAAAGAGACAGCCAAAGTGCAATGACTCAGACAAGGCAAAGCTTAACCTCTCTTTTATAATGAACACTGATTCCTGAGGTTGTCCAGGGACTCTGTGGCAGAAGCAGTTCTGTCACAACTGTAGTTTCCACTTCTATACCTAAAATGACTGCTGCAGTTGTCACCATGATCCAGATAGAATGAAGTGAGAAATAGGAAGTGCTGGGAAAACAGTAGGCCCTAAGAAGTGCCTAGAAAGTTACAAACATCACTTCCTGCAAACAAGCAGGATCTGGAGAGATTTGCTAAGGCATTTTCCCATAAAGCGACTGCTTATTAATAGGGATGCCATGGATTGTAATGTACAGAAAATGCATGGTTGAGATAATTGCCTTTTATCTGTGTAATCATGAGTAAAACTGACCTCCTCTGGATCTCCATTTCTTTTTAAGTAAAATTTAAAAGTTCAATGACATCATTTCCAACATCTCCTAAACCTCCAAATTTCATGATTATGTTTAGAAATATGCACATATAAAATAAAACTGATACTGTGCTATAGATTACAAATTTAGAAGAACCAGAATTTTGTCCAATCTGTCACAGGATGAAATTGGAAAAAAGCTGCCATTTTTGTTTGATTTTTATCATTTAATAGCTAGCATTATCCAAAATGAGTTTTGCTTAATATTAATTCCATAAAATTCTCTGAGAAAAACAAAGGCAATTCTATGATATTTTAACTAAAATACTTTTGGTTATAATTGAAAAATAAAGAACTAGATTAATATAAAGGGATAATGTTTATAAAGAATACAGAATGTCAGGCCACCATTTATGCTATTTGGGAAACTTAGCCATTCCAGCCTGTGGGCTTTGAGCAGTACCCTAGAACAGCACAGCTACTCTGTGAAAAGTGTAGGCATACTGCTTTTTTAGTCAGGTCCCCCCTCCCATTCCTCCTCACTGGGCAGGACCTCCCAACTGGAGATTCCAGGTATCCCCACCAGTATTCCATAGCCTACAGAAATTTGAAAACTCCCTGTGAGGGAACTCTCAGAGGGAGGGGTGGGCCTCCATCTTTGCTGTTTGAGCGACTTAGCAGTTTTAGCCTTTGGGCCTGAAGAGCCCAAGCTGACAGGGGGTGGAGGTGGTACCCCAGCACAGCACAGCACCTCCATGAAAATGTGACCAGACTGCTTCTTTAAGCAGGTCCCTAATCCTGTTCATAATGACTGGGGGACTCTCCCAACCAAGGTCTCTGGTTACCCCCACTGACAGAGGTTTCAGGTCTCCCTAGGATGGAGCTCACAGGATAAGGGGTGGGCCTTCATCTTTTCTATTTCATATCTTAGCTGTTTCAACCTTGGGCTTCAGAGTGTCCAAGGTGACCAGGGGAGTGGGGGCTGAATTGGGCCCCCAGAACAGCACAGCTGCTCTAAGAAAATGTGGCTAAACTACTTTTTATAAGCAGGATGCTGATCCCATTTCTCCTGACTGGTTGAGACCTCCCATCTGAGGTCTCCAGTTACCTCCTACAGGTCCACTCAGGCTGGCAAAAGGTACATACCTTCTTGGGATGGAGCTTTCAGATGAGGGTGCAGGCTGCCGTTTTTGCTGTTTCACAACCTTCAGGGGTGGTACATCAGGGACTGGAAAATTTGAGGTGTCCAGGGACTGGAGTGGACCCCTAGGATACTGTAGCAGCCCTATAGAAAAGGGGTCAGATTATTAAAAGAAAAAAAATCCAAAGGTCAGCAACAACAAAAATTGAAGTAGATACGTCCACAAAGATGAGAAGGAATGAGCACAAGAACGCTGAAATAGCAAAAAGCCAGAGTGCCCTCTTTCCTTCAAATGACCACATCACCTCTCCAGCAAGGGCTCAGGACTTAGCTGAAATTACAGAAGGAGAATTCAGATATGGATAGGAACAAAATTTAAGGAACTAAAATAGTACATTGTAACCCAATGCAAGGAAGTTAAAAATCATGATAAAACATTCCAGAAGCTGACAGACAACATAGCCAGTATAGAGAAGACAAAAGCCAAATGATAAAGCTGAAAAACACAATACAAGAATTTCATAATACACAAGCATTAATAGCAGAATAGACTAAGCAGAGGAAAGAATCTCAGAGTTTGAAGACTATCTTTTTGAAATAAGACAGGCAGACAAGAATGGAGATAAAAAGAATAAAATTGAATGAATAATACTTTCAGGAAATATGAGGTTATATAAAGGGACTGAATCTATTACAGATTGGTGTTCCTGAAAAAAAAAAGATAGGGATGATACAACCAATTTGGAAAACATTTCAGGATATCATCCCTGAAAAATTCCCCAACCTAACTAGTGGGGCCAATATTCAAATTCAGGAAATGCAGAAAATGCCAATGAGATACCATGAGAAGATCATCCCCAAGACACACAGTCATCACATTCTCCAATGCAGAAATGAAAGAAAAAATATTAAAGGCAGCTAAAGACAAATGCCTAGGTCACCTACAAAGGGAAGCCCATGAAATTAACAGTGAGCTTCTCAGCTTAATCACTACAAGCCCAAGGAGACTAGGGGCCAATATTCAACATTCTTAAATCAAAGAACTTCCAACCCAGAATTATATAACTGGCTAGATTAAGCATAAGTGAAAAAGAAATAAGATGATTTTCACACAAGGAAATGCTAGGGGAATTTGTTACTAACAGACCTGCCTTACAAGAACTGAAGGAAACACAAAATATAGAAAGACTATTACCAGCTGCTAGAAAAAAACACTGAAGTATACAGACCAGTGAAACTATAAAGCAACCACATAAACAAGTTTGCAAAATAACCAGCTAACATCATAGTGACAGGATCAAATCTACATGTAACAATATTAATTTTAAATGTAAATAAGATAAATGCCTCAAATTAAAAGACACAGAGTGGCAACCTGGATAAAGAACCAAGAACCATCAGTATGCTGTCTTCAAGAGTCTCATCTCACATGCAAAGGACACATACAGGCTCAAAATAAAGAGATATAAGAAAATCTACCAAGCAAATGGAAAACAGAAAAAAGCAGGGGTTGTAATCTAAGTTTCTGACATAATAGATTTTAAACCAATAAAGATCATAAAAGACAAAGAAGGGCATTATATAATGGCAAAGGCTTTAATTCAACAAGAATATCTAGCTATCCTAAATATACATGTACCCAATAAAGGAGCTCCCAAATTCATAAAGCAAGTTCTTAGAGACCTTCAAAGAGACTTTGACTTCCACACAATAATAATGGGAGAATTTAACACCCCACTGACAATGTTAGACAGATCATTGAGACAGAAAACTAATGACTATACTTTCATGGATCATTTCTATAGCTCATTATGAGAGAGAAAACTAATAAAGATATTCAGCCCCTGAACTCAGCACTGGATGAAATGCACCTGATAGATATCTACAGAACTCTCCACTCAACAACAGATTATTCGTTATTCTCATCACTACATGGCACTTACTCTAAAACCAATCACATAATTAGAAGTAAAACACTCTTCAGCAGATGGAAAAGAACTGAAATCATAACTAACAGACTCTGAGACCACAGCACAATCAAATTTGAAATAGAGACTAAGAGATTCACTCAAAACCATACAATTACATGAAAATTGAATAACCCGTTCCTGAATGACTTTTGGGTAAATATTGAAATAAAGGCAGAAATTGAGTTCATCAAAACTAATGAGAACAAAGATACAACTTACCAGCCTAACATCACAACCAAAATAACCAGTCAACCAAAAGCAAATAAGTCCCAAATCTAGCAGGAAACAAGAAATAACCAAAATCAGAAGCACGAACAACCATTTAAAGGATCAATGAATACAGGAGCTGAATTTTTGAAAATATTAATAAGATAGAATGCTAGCTCGACTAACAAAGAAGAAAAAAGATTCACATAAACCAAATCAGAACTACAAGTGGATATTACTATTGACCCCACAGAAATATGAATGACCATCAGAGAATATTTTGAACACCTCTATGCACATAAACTGGAAAATCTAGAAAAACAGATAAATTCCTGGACACATACACCCTCCAGCACTGCACCAGGAAGAAATTGAATCTCTGAATTGACCAATAATGAGTTCTAAATTTGAGGCAGTAATAAATAGTCTGCCAATCAAAACACCCCAGGACCAGATGGATTCCCAGCTGAGTTCTACCAGAGGTATAAAGAAGAGCTGGTACCATTCCTACAGAAACTTTTCCAAAAAACTGAAAAGCAAGGAATCCTTCCAGCTTATTCTACTAGGCCAGCATCATCCTGATACCAAAACCTGGCAGAGATACAGCAAAAAAAAAAAAAATAATAATAAAGAAAAGAAAAGAAAAGAAAGAAAGAAAGAAAGAAAGAAAGAAAGAAAGAAAGAAAGAAAGAAAGAAAGAAAGAAAGAAAGAAAACTTCAGGCCAAAATCCTTTATGAACATTAAAGCAAAAATCCTCAACAAAATACTAACAGACTGAATTTAGCAACACATCAAACAGCTTACCCACCACAATTAAGGAGGCTTCATCCCCAGGATACAAGTTTGGTCCAATATACACAAATCAATAGATGTGATTTATCCACATACACAGAACTAAAGACAAAAACCACATGATTATCTCAATCAATGTGAAAAAAAAGACTTTTGAAAAATTCAACATCCCTTCATGTTGCAAACTCTCAATAAACTTGGTATGGAAAAACATACTTCAAAATAATAAAAGCCTTATGTGAGAAACCAATAGCCAACTTTATACTAAATGGGCAAAAGCTAGAGGCATTTCTTGAAAACTGGCACAGGACAAGGATGCCTTCTCTCACCACTGCTGTTCAACCTAGTATTTTCTGTTCTGGCCAGGGCAATCAGAAATTTGATAAATAAAAATTTGGTTATTTATAAAGAAAGAAAGGGCATCCAAAGAAGAAGAAAAGAAGTCAAACTATTCCTGTTTGTGGAAGACATGATCCTATATGTAGAAAACCAATTAGTCTCTGACCAAAAGCTTCTGAAACTGATAAACAACTTCAGTGAAGTCTCAGGATACAAAATCAATGTGCAAATATCACTAGTATTTCTACAAACCAACAACAGTTAAGCCACGAGCCAAATGAGGAGCAAACTCCCATTCACAATTGTCACAAAAAGAATACAATACCTAAGAATACAGCTAACTAAGGAGGCAGAAGATCTCTATAAGGAAAACTACAGTCTGAGAGGACACAAACAAATAGAAAAACATTCCATGCTCATGGATAGGAAGAATCAATATTATTAAAATACCATACTGCCCAAAGCAATTTATAGATTCAATGCTATTCCCATTAGACTACAATTGACCTTCTTCACAGAACTAGAGAAAACTATTTTAAAATTCATTTAAAACCAAAGAGGAACCCAAATAGCTAGGCAATCCTAAGCAAAAAGAACAAAGCTGGAGGCATTATGCTACATGACTTTAAACTGTACTACAGGACTACAGTAACCAATACAGCATAATCAAGTACAAAAACAGATATATATTATATATATATATATTATATATATAATAAACACACACACACATACACACACCCCAGTGGAAAAGAATAGAGAACCAAAAAATAAGACCACACACCTACAACTATCTGATATTCAACAAACCTGACAAAAACAAGAAATGGGGACAGGATTTCCCATTCAATAAATGGTGCAGGGATAATGGACTAGTTATATGCAGAAGATTGAAACTGGGTCCTATTCTTACACCACTTACACCAGATACAAAAAATCAACTCAAGATGGATTAAAGACTTAAATATGAAGCCCAAAACTATAAAAACACTGGAAGACAACTAGGTAATATCATTGAGGATATAGGCACAGGCAACAATTTTATGATAAAGATGCCAACAGCAACTGCAACGAAAGCTAAAGTTGACAAGCGGGATTTAATTACACTAATGAGCGTCTGTACAGCAAAACAAACTATTATCAGAGTAAACAGACAGGCTACAGAATGGAAATCAATTTTTGCAGCAAAATATGCATCTGACAAAGGTATCCAGCATCTATAAGGAAGTTAAGTAAATTTATAAGAAAAAAATTTAAAAGTGAGCAAATGGCATGAACACACAGTTTTCAAAGTAAGACATACATGTGGCCAACAATCATATTTTTAAAAGCTCACATTAGTGATCATTAGAGAAATGCAAATCAAAACCACAATGAGATGTCATCTCACACAGTCAGAATGCCTGTTATTAAAAAGTCAGAAAATAAGATACTGGCAAGGTCGTGGAGAAAATTGAATGCGTATACACTGTTGGTGGGAGTATAAATTAGTTCACCCATTGTGGAATACAGTGCAGCATTTCCTCAAACACCTAAAGACAGAAATACCATTTGACCCAGCAATCCCCTGACTGGGTATATACCCAAAGGAATATAAATCCACCTATTACAGAGACACAAGCAGCACATATACATCAATTGCAACACTATTCACAATAGTCAAGACATGAAATCAACCTAAGTGCCCATCAATGATAGACTGGTTAAAGAAAATGTGATATTAATATATATACACCATAGACTACTATGTAGCCATAAAAAGAATAAGATTATGTTCTCTTTAGGGATGTAGGTGGAGCTGGAGGCCATTATCCCTAGCAAATTAACAGGGACAGAGAACCAAGTACTGCATGTTTCTCTTATAAGTGGGAGCTAAACAATGAGAACACATAGAGGGAAGCAACACACACCAGAATCTTTCAGAGGGTGGAAAGTGAGAGGAGAGGAAGGGTCAGGAAAAATAACTAATGGGTATCAAGCTTAATACCTGAGTAATAAAATCATGTGTACAACAGACTACCATGACATGAGTTTACC